GCGAAAAATCAATCATCCCCTCTGGCTTTCTTCCTTTCACTCTCTCCCCATCTCTGATATCTCAGTAGTAGAGACAGAACCCAGCCCACCACAGAATGCAGGAATACTACTGTGCTGAGGACCAGGAGAAATTGAAGTCTGCCTTAGAGATTATATTTAAACTTACAACACTGCTTACTTTGAACAGGGCCTCACTACATCCTTACAATTGCCTGGTCTGGGCTCCAAGTCACAATCCTCTTGCCTTAGCCTCCCGGAGAGCTGGGATGAGGGGCATGCACCACCACACCCAGCAGAAGAACTAACTTTTGAGTTCTCTTGGAGTGTTTTGGAGAAAATCAAGTATGAGATGCATATAAGTGTACAAAGTGGTCCTTAATCACCAAAGTGAAAGACCCAAATAATAATAATAGTAAAAAAAAAAAAAAAACATAAAGGAAGGAACAATGACATCTCCCCACAGGGGAGACGAGTTCAAGAACTGAAAAGTCTACCTCAGAGAGAAGCAAGTTCAAGCAGTTAAACTGCCTGGGCTGGCCTTGAACTCTCAATCCTCCTGCCTCAGTCTCCTGAGTAGCTGGGATGACAGGTGTGTGTCACTAGGCCTAGCTAGATTCACTCATGTGACAGAACAAACTGAGGGCCCTTTCCAGGGTCTGAGACCCCAGGTCTCCCTCACACGCCCCCATCTTCAAGTCCACAGCCCAGCCAGGTGACAGCGGCAGTATGCCATGCCCGGTGGCCCTGGCCAGCCGGTACCTTCAGAGGGAACTGCTGTGTAAGCTTCGGCACATAGGCGGCCCCGGCCTGCTTCCTGTGCAGAGACACAACCACGAAGTACTCGAAGAGCTGCCTCTCCTGACACTCAAGGAGCTCACGGGCTGGGTAGTGAGGGGCCTGCTTCAGGCGAGACTGCACGTTGACCAGGCGCTGGCTGTGAGCTGGGGACAGAGAGGGCAGTGGGAAGGACCTTGAGCGAGACACCACTCCCTACACACTGCCCCCTGCTGGGGGAACGGCAAGGCCACAGCGGCTCCAGCTAGGCTCCAGGCGGTATGCCCCACGCTGGCTAAACCCCAGTCTATTGCTAGATCCCAGAGGGAGCTGTCCTGGGGCAGCCCAGCAGGCTGGGAACTTGGCTTATCTGTCCTTGGAGTGGGGATGTGATAAAATCCAGAGTACGGGCTTTTGCAAACAACCGTGTGACTCAATGGCCAAGCCCAATGGACCTGAGGCCTCCACCTCACCTCATTCTGGGGTGACCCAGGTCCCTGTCACTCCACTCCTCAGGGCCAAGCTTCTCTCTGGCTTCTCCTTGGGGTCTGAAAAAACTCAGGAAACCCATAAAAGCCTGAACCAGGGTCTCCAATTATTAGGGACCAGATTTCAACAACTTCATCTGATAGGTGAAGGCCTAGAGACCCTGAGTTTTTAGAGAATTAGGTGTGGTGGCACACGCCTGTGACAGTCATCTTGGATGGGTATTGGATGACACCATCTGACTAGGATAGGCATGGGCCACTGGTGCTGAATATAGGCAATGGCTGGCTGGAACCAGTTTAACTGGCTAGAAGCAGATCAGTGGGGAGTGGGGAGAGAAGCTATAGGTGTTGGCAGCAACTGTGGCAGCCCGTGATGGGGCCAAGGTGGAATTTCCAGGAAGAATGGAAATTTTCCTTTTTTTTTTTTTTTTTGCGGAACCGGGGATTGAACTCAGGCCCTTGCACTTGCCAGGGAAGCACTTATTCCACTGAGCCATCTCCCCAGCCCTTCCTTTTTTATCTTTTAGATGCAGGGAGTGCTTTGGTTTCACTTTTAACTCCATTAAAGCCCCTTTTCCCGCAGTCAGGGACTGTGGATTTTAACAAATTAGTTGCCTCTCTATCTCCATACAATAGCACAGCAAAGGGTGTCAGAGAGACCATTCAAATGCCCACTTCACTGCACCCCCTGAAATGACTTTGGTGCAACTTAGCTAAGGAGGGGTGAGGACTCCCAATGCCACATGTGGAACTGCATGCGAGGGCCCAATCGGCCAGTGTGACCAGTGGTTCGCAGTCCTGGTGCACAGACGGAGCAGCCTATTGCTCACACTGTCAGTGACACTTACTCACACATCCACTCAGGAGGTGCCCAGAGGCTGAGCATTCCAAGTTCCCTTCCCTTGAGGGCAGCCTTAACAGGAGCTGATCAAGCTCTTCTTCTGCTCGAACTGAGCAGGACAATCAGACTAACTGGGGTAACTTCGGGGGATTTACTGGAATCAGACAGGCAGATAGACAGATTGTGTCCTCCTCCCTTTGGGGTCGAATGGGGTGGGGAGCCAGGAATCCTCCTCTAGACCTCTGAGGGGACTCGAGAAATCTCGAGGGTGTGCCTTCATGTTGGGATCTGCAGAGGTCCTTACTCCGTCCGTGAGGGTCACAACCAGTGACCAAAGAGGTCAGCATGGTCAGTCTTCCTGGCTAATGCATCAGATCCAACGGCAAGCAGAAACACAGAACTGACACCCAGGATTTTTTTTTTTTGGTGGTACTGGGGGTTGAACTCATGACCTTGAACTTGCTAGGCAAGCACTTATTCTACTGAGCTATCTCCCCAGCCCAACACCCAGGATTTGAAGGCAGATTTATTTACCTCAATGAGCAATGATTGGGATCATTCCCAGAGTATCAAGGCCCTGATGTCTGGTGGTCTAGGGCTTGAATGGCATAAGCAAGCAGGAAGTACAGAGACACAGTGGCTTGTCATTGGAGATTGGTTTATACAATGTGTAGCATAGCAGTTTCTTTCTTTTTGCAGTTTCTTTCTTTCTTTTTTTTTTTTTTGGCAGAACCAGGGATTGAACTCAGGCCTTTGTGCCTGCCAGGGAAGTGCTTATTCTACTGAGCTATCTCCCCGGTCCCGAGACCAGCAGTTTCTAAGAGACAGAAGCAAGTGGAACTGGAACAGGAACTATTAACTGAGCAACTAAGAAACTAAAGTATAGTGTCTGGGCAGGCCACTTTCTGTTACTGCGGGAAGATCACAAGTTTGACACCCGAAGGTCCTGCACTAGGCTGGGCCCCTGTGTCCTCTTAGATACCCATGCCTCCCCAGAAAGCCTGACAGGATACACATGCCCCTTGTGCCTGGGAACAAGGGTCATGTTGGTTTTTTTTTTTGTGTGTGTGTTTTAGGGAAGGGTCTGCAGGATGTTCAGGGTCTCACTACTAGATCAGACTCATAGTGATCCGCCTGTTTACAGCCTCCCAAGAGCTGGGATTACAGGCACATGCCACCACGCCTAGTCTCAATTGCCATGTCAGCGTGCCCTGGGGGCGGGGCTGGCACAGTAGGCCTGGGGATTGAAGCCCTGGCCCCTGAGCCTGCTTGCAGGTGCTTTAATCTGCTGAGCTATTTGGCCGGCCCTGGGTCATGTTGATGGTAACACC